TGGTTGCCTCAGGCAGGAGAACTTGTAAAGGGTTCACTATATTCCTTTTGTACTTTTTGAAGTTTGAGCCATAATGAATGTGTCATTCAAAAAAATAATAGAAATAATAACACCCATACATAAAAGAAAAGAAGAAAGCCTCTCTTGATTCTCCTGACTCAGCCTAAGCCTAACCCATGATTAACAGTTTGGTTTGTATCTTTACGGGACTTTCTCTATGCTCATACACTACGTATATACGTCTCCCTATGTATTTTTTAAAATAAAGATGGGATTATATTATATACACAGTTTCTGTAACATACACAATAATGTAGCATGAACCAGACTGTTTTTTTTTTAAATGCTGGATGTTTTGGGGTTTTCTTCTGCCTAAGGTGCTTATTATAAAAATCAAAGATCACAGAGTCAAGTAAACATAGGGGAAGGGAAGAGAGTCTAAAAGTGCACCGTCTATTTCAGTATTTTAAACACAGAGCCAAACACGTCTAGAAGGAGCTCTAGCTGACTATCAGCTGTGGTCACCCTCAGACTGGGGAGTAGAATGGGTGGGGAGGTAAACAGGGGAGCTCTGCTTTGTCAATGTGGTATAGATTTACAGTGAGAATGTATTTTTGTATGAGGCGTGATCGAAAAATACTGTGAGTTTTTAAGTTAAAAAAATGTATTATAGTAAGAGGCACATTGCCATTAATCCCACTCAAAATACTCCCCCTCGCTTCAAACACACTTATCCGGTCTTTCTTGCCACTTTCTGAAGCAGTTCTGAAAGTCCTCTTTTGTGAGTGTCTTTACTTCATCCTTCATCATGACAATGCTCTCTGTGTCATACATCGCTTCTGGTATGGCAATTTCTGTCAAATAAAAACATTACAGTGTGGGGCAGCCGGTTAGCCCAAGTGGTCACTGCGCCGGCTCATAACACCAAGGTTGCCGGTTCGATTCCCACATGGGCCACAGAGCTTCGCCCTACACAACTAGATTGAAGACAACTATTTGACTTGGAGCTGATGGGTCCTGGAAAAACACACTGTTCCCCAATAAAATTTCTAAAATAAAACAAAGCAAAACATTACGGTGTGTCCTCATCCACCTTATTCACCAGACCTGGCACCGTGCAACTTCTGGCTCTTCCCCAAAGTCAAAATGACCATGAAAGGAAAACGTTTTGAATGGATCCAGGACATCGAGGCAGCCACGACAGTGCAACTAAAGACACTCAGGAAAGAGGACTTCCAGAACTGCTTCAGAAAGTGACAAGAACGATGGGATAAATGTATTTGAAGCGAGGGGGAGTATTTTGAGGGGGGTTAATGGCAATGTGTCTTTTACTTTAATAAATTTTTAAAATTTAAATACCATATTTTTTTATCATACCGCATATATTAATTTATCTTTTTAATATTGTATAATTAAAAAACAGCTTTTAAGAAGAAATGCTGAAGGATTATGTCCTCCCTCAAAAAAAAAGAAAAAGAAAAACAAACAAAAAACTGTGGGGGAAGAAAAGTGAAAGTTCCCTGTATCTTCATTGTTAACAGCTTGGTGTATATTCTTCAGACCATTTTCACCCCATGTGGGCACACAAACACACACATCTTATTTTTATAAAAACGGTAACATGCTTTTTTAAAAAAAATAACAACTTTGAGATATAATTTACATACCATAAAGTTTGCCTTTTTTACAGTATATAGTTTAGTGGTTTTTAGGATATTCAAGAGTTATACAACCATCACCACTCCCTAATTCCAGAACATTTTCATCATCACCCCCAAAGAAAATCCTGAACCCATCATAGTCACTCCCAGCTCACCCCAGGCAACCACTTATCTATCTACTTTCTGCTTTTGTGGATTTGCCTATTCTGGACATTTCAGGTAAATGGAATCATATGCTATGTGGCCTTTTGTGACTGGTTTCTTTCCCTTAGCATAATGTTTTCAAGGTACATCCATGTTGTAGCATGTATCAGTACTTCATACCTTTCAATGGCTGAACAATATTCCCTTGTGCGGTATGCCACATTTTATTTATCCATTCATTAGTTGGTGGACATTTGGGTTGTAGGTTTTGTTTTGCAGGTTCCTTCTTTTCCTTACCATATCTCTCAGGGACTTTACCATGTCTGCAAATATCTCTTCCTCTGTCTTTTTTTAACTTTATTGGGGAACAGTGTGTTTTTCCCAGGACCCGTCAGCTCCAAGTCAATTTGTTGTTCTTCAATCTTAGTTGTGGAGGGTGCAGCTCAGCTCCAAGTCCAGTCACCATTTTCAATCTAGTTGTGGGTGGGCATAGCCCAACATTCCACGCGGGAATCGAACCGGCAACCTTATTGTAAGCCCGTGCTCTCATCAGCTGAGCCATCCTGCCACCTGTTGGCAGCTCAGCTTGGGAGCAGCTCACTGGCCCATGTGGGAATCGAACCTGCAACCCTGTTGCTCAGAGCTTGTGTTCTAACCAACTGAGCCACCTGGCCGCCCCTCCTCTGTCCTTTTTAATGGCTTTAGGCTTTATATTATCTCATTCCTTTATATGTGATAGCTGGGGCCTCTCAGTGCCGTTGGAGACCCCTGGTTCCCCTTCCTGTCACCCCACTTCTTCCTCCAGGAAATCTACAGTACTTGGAGAGGCTATAGTCACCTAGTCCATGGCTGTTTTATAGATAATAAAATGGAATTTCAGGGAGAGGAAGGGGTTCACCCAGGATCATAAACTCAGTGTTGTGGGGTTCCCAGAATTCAGCTTCCAGCTGAGGTCACAGTCTCTCCTGCTTAGCTTGTTGATAAAACAAGCCCAGATCGGCAACTCAGAGCCCTCACCTCAACCATTCCACATGGGGGTCTTTCTAAGCACCCCCTTCCCGGGCCCCATTTGTGGGAGGGGCTCTTTGTGGGGGGACTTGTTTTGTGGCCCTCACCCTATTCCCTACTCTTTCCTCCTCCATTTTGAAAGATCCCTGGACAGTCCTTCTCAAATTCTGGCTCCCTGCCCTTGGGCACCCAGCGTCTGAAATATCAGCCTCTGCTTTCCTTCCTCATTTGCATTTCAAAAGGTCTCTTTAGGGTTTGATCGGGCTTTAAGATATACTTAAGAGTCCATCTGGAGTTCATCTTTCTGGCTTTGTGGTTCCTACTTGGGCTGCACATTAGATCACTTGGGAAGCTATTTAAAAATACTGGGATGCCTGGGACCAAGGGTATCAGTATTTTCTTTCCTTTTTTAAGTTCCCTAGGTAATTCTGATGTGCACCCAGAATGAGAACCGCTGTGCTACCTCCACTCCACCCTTCCTTCCATGTCTTTGGAGCTAGATCTAGAGCTATGTCAAGAGCTGGTCCCAGGGCAGCTATGGATTTGCTGTGGGACCGTTCTCTCACCTTCAGTAAAGGGAAGGCTTGGATTAGAACAATGGTTCTCCACTTCAGGGATGGGGGGTGAGAGGTGGCGTGTAGGGAAGGCATGTATTCAAACCACACAGGAGCATTCTCAGAAAATAATCTGCTCAACTTGAAAAGTTGGATGCAACCTAAGTGTGGTGTTATATACCACTAACATAAATCATGGGAAGAAGTGTTCAATGGAATCAAGCATCTAATTGAATGACTTATTTAAACATTGAGAAACTTCAGTAATGGTTATTGTAACCTTTCCTCAAATTCCCCTCCATGGGGCTTGTGCCATTTTGCATTCTTTCCAGAGATACACCGTTCCTATTTCTCCGTAGCTTCAGTAGAATACGAGTATGTTGTGAGATGTTTGGATTTTTGCCAGTCTGATAGATGAGAAATGGTATCTCATGTCGTTTTAATTTGCATTTCTCTATCATGAACAGGGTTGAGCATCTTCCTATGGTAAAGAGCCATTTACCTTCCTTTACCTGTGAACTGTTCTTCGTATCTCTACCCATTTTTCTGTAGGTTTGTTGGCTTTTTTATTCTGTATTTTGTGAAGCTCTTTACATATTTAGGATATTAACGTTTTTGTCAGTGTTATGAATTGCAAATATTTCTCCCAGTTTGTCCTTTATATTTTTACTTTTCTTAAGGTGTATTTTTTCCATGTAAAATTTGCTTAGCTGATCAAATGTATTGATAGTCTTCCCCTATCACTTCTGGATTTTTGAATCACGATTATTGTTATAGTTGCGTTTTGCTTTAATCTTTATGCACACTTTTACAATTTAAATTATGATCTGTGACACCTCATTTCCAAACCTCCTGTGTAACGATGGTTCATTGCACCAGTATTCATTCATTCTGAATTCAAGTCCCCACTAGAATGCCAGTTCCATGAGCATTTCCTCTGAGATGGAGATTTGCATGTAGAGGCAACTGAAAGAGTCCCCTTGGTAATAACACCATCAAAGAGCGAAGCAGAAGAAGTTGGGGTGCAGAACCTTCACACCAGTGGCTCAGTGGATCCCATGGAGAGCTCTGAAGCTGGGATGGCCCTTTCAAGTTGTCCCAAGTTGAGGCAGGGGAGCATGGACCAGTCATTGGATGTGGGCTGCCCTCAGCCAATGGCCATGGCTGGGAGGCGGACTCAGCGTAGAGGCCTAAGCTGGAGAAACGAATGCCCCAGTTCTGAAGGAGGGATCTGGGCAGAGCTCCTCCACTGTCTGTCTTGGTCCCTACTGTGTTCTTTACTCCTCACTGTGCCTGGCACATAATAGGTCAGGAAGTCTTTGGTGAATGACTGAAAGACGAGAACGGAAACCCAGATTTCCAGGTCTTGGCCCAGGCCAAATGGATCACAGTGTGGGGCTGGGAGAGAGAGGAGGCACCCTGGGAAGATGTATTCAGAATCATCTGAAGTGCTCCTGGCCTGTCCCCATTTGCAGCCCACAGGGTGGTCTTGAGGGCCCCTCTGACTCAGCAGTTGGTGCTGGTCCATGACTGGGCTGGGGCCCTCAGTGGAACCTAAGGCTCTGTGACTGCTCTTTGGATGCATAGCACCCTCATGTGCTTTCAGTTCTGACTTTTAAAAATCTCCCTCCAGCATTCCTTGAAGAAAAGAGGAACCCGCTCCCTGGGGAAGACAGACAAGAAGCCTTCTGTGCAGGTACTTCCCGGCAGCTCCCACAGCCCCCAGTGTAGCCCCACTGGCAGGTTTTAGTCTTAGGGCTCGAGGCCTAAGTCCAAGTGGCCTGGTGGGGGTTCCCCAAAGGGGCCCACTCCTCCCCAGCTTTTACCCCTTACCCATTTTCTTAGCTTTGCTAAGAAAACCATACCCTGAACCCATGGTTCTCACATGCTAAGATAGATAAAATGCTATATGTAGCACAGGCCAGGCATAGAATACAGGTAGCTTCTAGTGGTTCTGGATTGTCAGAGTGCAAAGCGCTTTACATACGTTATCTCATTTATTCCTCTCCGTGGCTCTGTGAGGGAGGGAGTATTACTGCTTCATTTTATAAATGAAGAAATTATAGTATTATGGTAATGGTAGTGGTAGTAGCAGCAATAGTCACCATGGCAGAATACTGCCTACTCCAGGAAGCCCTCCTGGACTCCCCAGGCTATGAGTATGTGTGATGCTCCATCCTTGCTGCTATATCAATGTCCCCCTTTCTGCTTCCCCTCTGGACCCCAGCTCCTAGAGGATTGGGGCTGCGTCCGCTTTATTCCTGTGTCCCCAGCACCTAGTTACTACTCCCTGAAGTGCTGTGGCTGGTATTGAGCTTCCCAACACTAACCTTCCTGGGTCTTGTCTGTCCCTGTGCCCGTGGGGCCCCAGGAGGACAGTGCGGACCTGAAGTGCCAGCTGCACTTCGCGAAGGAGGAGTCAGCCCTCATGTGCAAGAAGCTCACCAAGCTCGTCAAGGAGAATGACAGCATGAAGGAGGAGCTGCTCAAGTACCGCTCGCTCTACGGCGATCTGGACAGCGCCCTGTCAGCGGAAGAGCTGGCGGATGCACCCCACTCGCGGGAGACTGAGCTGAAGGTGCATCTGAAGCTGGTGGAGGAGGAGGCCAACCTGCTGAGCCGCCGCATCGTGGAGCTGGAGGTGGAGAACCGGGGCCTGCGGGCCGAGATGGACGACATGAAGGATCACGGTGGCGGTGGTGGGGGCCCAGAGGCGCGCCTGGCCTTCTCCGCGCTGGGTGGCAGCGAGTGCGGAGAGAGCTTGGCAGAGCTGCGGCGACACCTGCAGTTCGTGGAGGAGGAGGCCGAGCTGCTGCGGCGCTCCTCCGCCGAACTGGAGGACCAGAACAAGCTGCTGCTGAGCGAGCTGGCCAAGTACCGCTCCGAGCACGAGCTGGACGTGACGCTGTCGGAGGACAGCTGCTCCGTGCTCAGCGAGCCCTCGCAGGAGGAGCTGGCGGCGGCCAAACTGCAGATCGGCGAGCTCAGTGGCAAGGTCAAGAAGCTCCAGTACGAGAACCGCGTGCTTCTGTCCAACCTTCAGCGCTGCGATCTCGCCTCCTGCCACAGCACGCGGCCAATGCTGGAGACAGACGCCGAGGCGGGGGACTCTGCCCAGTGCGTGCCTGCTGCCCTTGGCGAGGTCCATGGCCCCCATGCCACCCGGCTGTGTAGAGTCAGGGAGGCCGAGGCGCTGCCTGGGCTGAGGGAGCAGGCCGCCCTGGTCAGCAAGGCCATCGACGTCTTGGTGGCTGATGCCAATGGCTTCTCTGCTGGCCTCCGCCTGTATCTGGACAACGAGTGTGCCGACTTCCGGCTGCATGAGGCCCCCGACAACAGCGAGGGTCCCATGGACGCCAAGCTCATCCACGCCATCCTGGTGCGGCTGAGCATGCTCCAACAGGAGCTCAACGCCTTCACGCGGAAGGCAGACACTGTCCTGGGGAGCTCTGTCAAGGAGCCGCCAGAGCCCTTTTCGTCGCTGCCCCCCTTGGGCTCCCAGGGGCCCTCCAAGGAGATTCTGCTGGCCAAAGACCTTGGCTCCGACTTCCAGGTAAGATATCTCAATCACAGGCCCTGTTCCTTGCTTTTTGATAGAAACTTTTTACTGAACCATAACATACAGACAGAGAGGTAACACAAAGCACAGGTATAGAGCTTAGAATTTTCCCAAGGCGAGCACATTCATGTCATCATCACCCAGCACAAGAACTGGAACACGACCAGCACCCTGGAGGCCCCTCCTCCTGCCCCCTTCTAGCCACAGGAGTAACCTCTTGATTCAGCTTTGACTGTTTAAACTTTATATAAACTGACTCATAAAATAACACACGTGGGCCTGGCTCCCTTCACTCACCACTATGTTCGTTGTCACATGTGGCAATAGTTTGTTCCTTCTCATCACTGGAAATGATCTCATTGAGTGAATATGCCACAATTTGCTTACTCATTTACTATTGATAGATACTGATTTGGAGGTCCTTTTTGCCAGATTGCCCTTTCTTCTTGTTTCTTTTGCAGTTTTGTATTTTAAAACGAGTATTAGGTTTTTTTTAAAAAAAGGACTTTCATTCTGGTCCTATGCAAAGGCAAGAAACTTGGTTTTTTTTTTTTTTTTTTTTTGAAACTTGGCTTTTTAAAGGTCATGAACTTCCAGCCTTGATGTCTATAACATACTAGTTAGAAAAATTAAGATAGCAAATGCACTTGTCCCCCAAAAGAGCATTATTGCCAAAGTAATCCATACACATTCAAAGAGTTTCCAAAGTACCTGAGCTAAAAGCCTCCTTTTTCACCGCTTCTTACTCCCTACAAGTACCACTTTTTACAGTCCGGAGCAGTGCTAACCAATACAGTGGCCACTAGCCATATGTGGCTACTTAAATATCAATTAATAAAAATTACAGTACAGTTGAAAATTCAGTTCCTTGGTCACAGTAGCTACATTTCAAGTGCTTAGTAGCTGTATGTGTCGAGTGGTGCAGATCTAGAATATTTCATCATCACAGCATGTGTTTTTAAATCTTTCTGTACATATGTGCTCATATATTTGTTTTTTTCACCCAAATTGTCTTGTACCTACTGTTACCGCACAACTTGTTATTCTCGTGTAATGTATGTATTTGTTCATTTACTTGTGATGCGGTATTTATTTGTATACTTTTGTGCTCAGTGCTGAAGGTGCCATGGTAAGCAAAAACAGGTGAACCCTGCCTCCCAGTCCATACTATCTAGCAGGGAACAGAGATGTTAATCAGAATATACCAATGAATGTGAAATTACAAACTGAAATGAGGGCTCTCAAGGAAAGGCACTTGATCCTATGAACTTGACCTAGACCCTGGGTAAGCGCAGACCTCTGATCTGAGCTGAGATCAGAGGATGGATTACTAGGGGAAGAGAGTTCTAAGCAGAGGGAACAGCCTGTGCAAAGGCATCATGACCAGAAGGAACACGGGGTGTCCAAGAACTCAGAGAAGGTGTGACGCTGGCCTACAGATAGCATCTGGAAAGTTTGATCTTCACCCTGAGCTCAATGCTGTGTGTGTGGGGTGTCTTTCCATGTCTCTACAGAGATGTAGCTCTTTCTTTTTCACACCTATACAGTGTAGTTGTGCCATAATTTCTTTAACCAGTGCCCCCATTGATTGGGCTTTTTTTTTTTTTTTTTTTTCCCCTAGCTGAGCCATCCTGCCATCTGTTGGCAGCTCAGCTCGGGCTGGGAGTCAAACCGGTGACCCTGTTGCTCAGAGCTCACACTCTTGAGCGAGCTCTTAGCCAACTGAGCCACATGGCCGGCCTGATCTGGCTTTTTTAAGCAAGCAGACTGCCCCATGTTAGGTCACCCTCTTGGTCCTTCTTGAGATAGGAATGAGCTGGGGCTGCAATGTGCTAGAACAGTTGAGGCTGACTCAGAGGTTTGTGCACAAGACAGACATTCACAGAATCAGTGCTTTCACTTACCACTTATTTAATCATTCATCCTTTCAACAAACATTCATTGGGTGGTTGCAGTCCCTAACCAGGGCTGGGTCTGGGCTACAGAGGTGAGTCCACCTGGGTCCCAGCACTCAGGTGGGTGATCAGAGCCTTTATAGAGCCCAGAGACCTGGGGTGGGGCTGTTGCTGGTACTTTCTGGGCCCCTCCCCATGGTTACCTTTGGTCTCTTCTGCCTGTGCCTCTGGGTACAGCCACCTGACTTCAGGGACCTGCCGGAATGGGAGCCCAGGATACGAGAGGCCTTCCGCACTGGTGACTTGGACTCCAAGCCCGACCCCAGCCGGAACTTCAGGCCTTACCGAGCTGAAGACAATGATTCCTACGCCTCTGAGGTGGGCCTAGGCCTGAGCAAGCAAGGGGGCGGGTAGGAGGAGAGTGGCTGGGGCTGCCCAAAAACAGAGTGATCCATGGGAAAGCTTAGCTGCTGATGATATGGGTGTTGCGTATTCCGTTAGGTTCCAAGCTTCCTGGAAGCCAGGACAAAGAGGGAAACCAGGAAGTTTGGGCTATTCTCATGGCCCGATAAGATGAAGCTTATAAACTCATTTGAAGAAATAGATTTTTTTCCTATATTAAATTCTACTGGGAATTCAGTAGTTTATGTCATTTAATGGAACCACTAATTTATGTAGCAGGAAGACAGCAGTCTCTACAATCAGGCTGACTGGGTTCAAATTGTGGTTCCACTGTATACTGACTGCAAATCACTTTATCTCTCAGATTCTCAGTTGCTCACTTTTAACATAAAAGTGATCCCTCATAGTGTTGCTGAAAGGGGTAAACACACAAAAAGCCTTGGTGTATACCTGGTTCATGTTTGGTAGGAATGAGGAGGAGGAGGGTGGCATATCACTGGGCCTCAGAGGACCTACCAGAGTGTCTGTGTGGCCTTGGGCATGTTTTCACTCTCACTGCAGTTTCCTCCTCTGTAACATGGGAGGATTGGAGTCAGTGGTGACTGTACAATTGCTAGGATTCTTTGATCCTTGAGGAATTCTGGGCAGTTCTGAGCCCCACCCCAGCCTGCTGAGCCTCTGGCTAGCACTTCATAATGAAACTGAAGCAGGAAAAGGCTCCTATGGCCTCAGTGGGGCCGCTCTGAGATTTCTGAACTGCGGCGAGCCCTTTGTGTGCCCCAACCTGGGCACCCTTTTCTTCTGAGCATCCCTCGGAAAGCAACTTTGTGGACCCAGGGAGGCCAGTCTGCTACTGTGCAGGGGGAGTAGCTCCTTTGAAGCTGATGGATCAAACTATCTAAGTGGTCTGAGGTTCCTATGGCATGGAAGAAAGGGGAAAACTCATGAGATACTTAGTCTTCATTTCCTGAGAAAATGAAATAGGCCAACTCACCTGCAGAGAAAATAATTTCCTCTATGTATTCAATTATTATTTCATTTAACCACTCTTTATTGAGTAATTACAATTTGCCAGGCACCGTGTTAGGTACTGAGTTTAAGGAGAACGCCAGAGATAGCACATCTAGCCCTGCAAGGATTTTTAATACAAAACAGACATAGAAGATAGACCTCAAGTCAGAGCGCCTTCCTTTGCCAAATTTCCACATTATTGGCCAGATAGTAAATGTTTGGGTTTTTTTCACAGAGGGACATCTTGCCATGCCTGGGGAGGTTTTATTTAGGAGTTGGAACTGACATTTCCTTTTTTTTTTTTTTTTCCTCCTGCTTAACATGACAGCATAACAATTTCCCTCTGTTACTAGAATTACAAAATTTTAAATTGAAGTATAACATACATGCAGAAAAGCACTTGTAAGTGGACCGCTCAAATAATTTTCACAGATTGAACACTCCTATCTAATCAGCAAGCAGGGGAAGAAGCAAGCATGATCTGCCCCCGGGACCTCCACCCCTCACCTCTCCCCCCCAGTGCCCCTTTCTAGTCACCATCCTGACTTCTAACAAAATCGATTAGTTTTGCCTGTTTAGCTGCATGTAGCTATAAACACAATTTCCCCTGAAAAATGGAGAGTTTTATTGTCTTTTTGTTAAGATTTTATTATATAGTCATTAAACAACAAATAACTTCCACAAAACCCCTAAGCAGCATTGCATGAAAGATATACAGAAAGTCAAGATGATAAAATTGTCACATACTGAACCACTGTTAACACGTAGTGTGTGTGTCCATGTCCTTCATGTTTTTCTATTGAAATATATATATATAAACTTTTCATTGAAGTATAAACATAATAGTGGACATACAATAAAGGACACGCTCTTTAAGTGTATAGTTGAATGGATTTTTACATATGTAAAAATAGACCCATTAAACACATATATTGACCCCTATCATTATTCTCTAAGTTGTTTGTCAATTTTTGCAATTATAAACAATGAGACGATGAACATTTTTGCGAATCAAACTTAGTTTCCACAGTATATTGTTTTCTTCAGATAAATTTCAAAGACAGAAATGATCAAGTTAAAATTATAATGGCTAGATGTGATGTCACTGTTTTGTTTAATCGTCATCACAACGCACTGAGGTATAGGGACAGCATTGTGCCTGGTTTGTACTTGAAGGACCGCTTGGGTCTGACTTACTGCTGTTGCCTCCCCTACCATCCTCGTCTTCTGATCACAGCTTCTATCTTCCTCATGCTCTCTCCCTCCTCATTATCGGTGTCCCTCATCCCTACCCCAGATCAAGGAGCTGCAGCTGGTGCTGGCTGAGGCCCATGACAGCCTGCGGGGCCTGCAAGAGCAGCTCTCCCAGGAGCGGCAGCTACGCAAAGAGGAGGCTGACAACTTCAACCAGAAAATGGTCCAGGTGCGTGGTGCCCAGGGCCTTCCTTACACCTATTTCAACCTCCCCTCCCTGGACAGCAGGCAGAAACCTTAGAGGTCCACGGGTTTTCAGAAGGCAAGAATGTCAGGGGAAACCGGAATCTTCCTGCCCCATGCTGCACTGTGGTTGTGGGGTCTTCTGCACATGTGATTGTGCATTAGCTGTGCTGGGCTGGAAGTCATTGACTGCCTGTGTGACTTCAGGCCAATCCTGTCCATTGTCTGGGCCTCAATTTCTCATTTGTGAAATGCTGCCCCCATCAGAGCTGAAAACCTGTAGCCAAAAGGCCATAGGCCTGTCTGGTAATCCAGATGACAGTCCTGCTAATAGAAAGCATTTATTAAGCCCTTACTGTATGTCCTTTAATCTCCATGTCTTCCCCTATGAGGTGTCCCTATTTTACAGATGGGGAAACTGATGCCCAGAGAGCTGAAGTACTTTGCCCAGGATTGCACATCCAGGCGAGGTGGGGGCTGGGATTCTAATTCAGGTCTCTGGCTCCCTCTTGGCCGTGACACAGCATTGCTTCCTTGGGTTTTACATGTGCTCAGCCTTCCTCACTCCCAGCATGCCCTTTGCTCCCCACGTGGGTTACCCCTCCCTGTCTTCATTACTCACACTCCCAGGTTCCTCATTAAATGTAAGAGTTCATATGAAACATTGGCACCCAGTACATGCTTATTATATGATGTCATGGCTTTTAATCTTCAGAGCTGGGTTCAAATCCCAGCTGTTTTCACTGATTCAGTAACTGTGACTGCTGCTGCTTTTATGAGTTTCTCTTCCCTGGAGTAGCAGAGGGCAGTGTTTATCGCAACAGATTGAGCTACTAGTGGTGGAATCCCTGGCAGGGATCACCAACAAGCCTCACCCAGATTTTCCTCTGTGCCCTTGTCGGAAGCCTGGAATGGGGTGGGGTGGTGCCCCTGAAGACAGCTGGGATTGCTCACCGCCTTGTCCCCCTCGCAGCTGAAGGAGGACCAGCAGAGGGCGCTCCTGAGGCGGGAGTTTGAGCTGCAGAGTCTGAGCCTCCAGCGAAGACTGGAGCAGAAATTCTGGAGCCAGGAGAAGAACATGCTGGTGCAGGAATCTCAGCAGTTCAAGCACAACTTCCTGCTGCTCTTTATGAAGCTCAGGTGGTTCCTCAAGCGCTGGCGGCAGGGCAAGGTTTTGCCCAGCGAGGGGGATGACTTCCTTGAGGTATGGTTCCTCGGGGCGCTGAGAGTGGGGCGGGGATGGTGTGGAGGAGATAGGACCAGAGGAACACCTAGCAGGCATCAGCACAGTCCTGAGGCTCATATAGGAGCCATCAGTTTGCAGGCTTCCATCCCTGCATTCGTTCATTCATTCATTCAGCATCTATTTGTGAGAGCCAGCTCTTCACTGGGTGCGGTGGCAGGGGCTGAGGATACCGTGATAAAGAAGACAGACTTGGTCTCAGTCTCACCAGAAGAAAGTGTCTTGGGGGACTAATATTTCTTCGTTTCTCTTTTTCACAAACCTCAGAGTCTTTAGCAGGCAACAGAATCTAGGTGAATTTAATAATCTAGTTTTGTTGTTATTGCATTACCTGCAAATATAGTGTATATTGATGCTTCTTACTTGTTTAACATATGGTAAAATGCACACATCTTTTTTTTTAAAGATTTTATTGGGGAATTGGGGAAGGGGAACAGCCAAGTTGTTGTCCTTCAGTCTTAGTTGTGGAGGGTGCAGCTAAGTCAGCTTCAAATCCAGTTGCCTTCCGGCCACCCGTCGGCAGCTCAGGGCAGCTCAGCTCAAGGTGCCGTGTTCAATCTTAGTTGCAGGTGGGCGTAGCCCTCCATCCCATGCGGGAGTTGAACTGGCAACCTTGTTGTTAGGAAAATGTTGTCTCACCAGCTGAGTCATCCTGCCAGCTCAGCTCGGGCGCCGCTCAGTGGCCCATGTGGGAATCGAACCTGTTTCTCGGAGCTTGCTCCCTTACCAACTGAGCCACTTGGCTGGCCCCTAACGAATTGTTTTAATTTTTATTTTTTTAATTGTAGAAAATATACATAACAGAAAATTTACCATTTTAACCATTTTTAAGTGTACAGTTCAGTGACATTAAGTACATTCACCTTGTTGTATAACTACCACCACCATCCGTCTCCAGAACTCTTTTCATCTTGCAGTACTGAAACTCAGTACCCATTAAACACAAATTCCCCATCCTCCCCTCCCCCAGTCCCTGGCAACCTCCATTCTACTTTCTGTCCCTATGATTTTGTCTATTCTAAGTACCTCATATCAGTGGAATCATATAGCGTTTGTCCTTTTGTGACTGGCTTAGTTCGCTTAGCATAATGTCTTTTAAGGTTGATTCATGTTACGGGCCGGCCGAGTGGCTCAGTTGGTTAAGAGCTCGCTCAAGAGTTTGAGCTCTGAGCAACAGCGGTTCGAGTCCAGCCCGAGCTGAGCAGCCGCTGAGCTGCCAACAGGTAGCAGGATGGCTCAGCTAAAAAAAAAAAAAAAAAAGGTTGATCTATGTTGTAGCATATTGCAGAATTGACTTTTTTTTTAAGGATAATATTCTATGGTATGGATAAACCACATTTTTTTCAGCTTTACTGAGGTATAAATGAGATACAGGAGTTGTATATATTTAATATGTACAACTTGATGTTTTGATATATGTATACATTGTAGAGTGATCACTTTAATCAAGTTAATTAACATAACCATCACCTCATATAGTTACCATTCTTTCTCTGTCTCACTCTCTCTCTCTCTCTGGTAAGAACACTTAAGATCTCTCTTAGCAAATTTCAAGTGTACAATGCAGTATTATTAACTATAGTCACCGTGCTGTACATTAGATCTCCAGAACTTATTCATCCCACATAGCTGAAACTTTGTACCCTTGACTAATGTCTCCCCATTCTCCCCTCCCCCTGCCCTTGGCAACCACTGTCCCACTCACTGCTCGTGTGAGTTCGACTTTTTAACCATTCCACATCTGAGTGAGATCTCGCAGTATTTGTCTTTCTCTGTCTGGCTTATTCCACTCATCATAATATCCTTCAGGTCCACCCATGTTGTTGAAAATGGAAGAATTTCCTTTTTTATGGCTGAATAATATTCCATTGTGTATATATACCGTATTCGCTTTAGCCATTCATTCATCGACAGACACTTTGGTTGTTTCCGTATCTTGGCTACTGTGAGTAAGGCTACAATGAACACGAGGGAGTACAGATACCTCTTTGAGATCCAGATTTCATTTCCTTTGGATATATACCCAGAAGTGGGATTGCTGGATCAAGTGTTAGTTCTGTTTTTACATTTTTTGGGGAAACACTATACTGTTGTCCATAGCTGAAGCCCAGTTTTGGCTGCTGCGGAAAATGCTCCCGCTCTCCCTCCAAAGTGAATTACCTACAGGCCACATAGCCTATATTTTAAATTAATTTTTCTCAGGCACACTCTATATTTGGTGAAAATCTCTCTAGCCGTTCCCATGTATTAGAGTAACAGAGAGAAACAGAAACTTACTTTAGAAAAACAATAAGGTGTAAGCATAGGAAATGAAATATATATGCCTAATTAATAAAAATATACATATTTTTAAGACATAATTAAGTTATAAACATGACCACATATGTGTACAAATAAATATATAAATATATGTATATGATATAAAGCATGTGTGTAAAATACATTTAAGTACATAATAAAATACATGTAACTAAATAATAAACTTGATATACATGTATAGATTTGAAGAATATACATATTCACACATGTAAAATTAAAACTATATACGTGAATGATAACCCTCAGATGTTGGGTGTTTATAGTGTTCTGGGCACTGTGTTAAGTGCTTAAAGTAGGTTATCGCATTTCACTTTTACAATTATCCTGTGATGTAGAAAGAATTATTATCCCCATTCTACTACAGTTAAAGATCTTTGATTCCTTGTCCTCAATTCTGAAATCCAGAAGCTCTGAGAACTGTTTCTTTGCGTCTCACTCAGCTGAACAAAATTGGCCCGACATTCATTTGGCAACAAAACCTTTGTTTATCCCATTTCATGTTAATATTCATATGTTTGTAGGGGAAATATTGGTGTCCTTGAGCACAGGGTGTCACCCTAGACTTTGTCAGGACTGTTATACAATATACAGTGTAGGTACCATATTATCTTTCTAAATCCGCATTAAGTCTGAATTCTAAGCACACCCAGCCCTAAGGATTTCAGAGAAAGAATCGTGCACCTGTGTCTATAGATAGTCAGATACTGAATGTTTAGGTACTCGTGACCAGGGACAGAATTGGGATACTCGTCACCAGGGCCTGTGTGAAGTATTCACACATACTTCCAGCCTCAGCACCTGCCTGACTCTGAAAACCTTTATTCATTTGGTTTCTAGGACATTCTTTTGGTTTTTCTTCCACCTCATTGGTTGCTCCTCCGTCTCCTTGGCCCAACCCTCCATTTCTCCCTGACATGACCTGAATGTCAGAGTCCCCAGAGCTCAGCCCTCAGGTCTTGTCTCTCCTTTACCTGCCCTTCCCCGCTTGGGGAGTTCATCCATGCTTATGGCTTATATGGCCTTTCTTACACATTGCAAGTCTATCTAGAATCTACAGACCCTGACCCAGCCACACTGCCCCCCACAATCTGAGCCACCACCACATCTTGCCTGGCTTGATAATTGTAAAAGTGAAATGCGATAACCTACTTTAAGCACTTAACACAGTGCCCAGAACACTATAAACACCCAACATCTGAGGGTTATCATTCATGTATATAGTTTTAATTTTACATGTGTGAATATGTAACCTCCTCTAAGTGATCTCCCCGCTTCTGCCCTTGCACCCTTCTACCAAGCATCTTGTATTCAAACGAGAGGTCCCAGGCAGCATGTCCTCAATGTAGATGGTGCCCCCTGGAGTTGTGTGATATGACACTCTGTTGCTACCCTATCTCAACATAGCAACTAGAGGGATCTTATGAAACTGAAAGCCAGGCCAGTGTCACTTCTGGGCTACCGTCTTCCCCTGGCTTCCGTTTCACCCAGAGTAGAAGCCAGAGTCCCTACAATGGCCTTTTCAACCAGCCTGTTCCCCATGCCTCTCCCGCTTCCCCAAACAGACATGTTCCCACCTCAGGGCCTTTGCATTGGCTGTGTCCTTTTCCTGGAATTATGCTCATGGCTTATTCTCTTACCTCCTTCAGGACTTCACCCAAATATCACCTTCTCTCTAAGGCCTTCCTTGAGCACCCACATGCAGCACCTCCTAGCTCCTTTTCCTGCTCCCTTTTTCTCCACAGCACCTATTATCATGTGACATTCCCTATACTTCATGACATTTCATACATTTCACATGTTTGTTTGTTTTCTTGCTACTGGAATGAAAGCTAATGGGGTCAGTGTTTTTGTCTGTCTTACTCACTGAGGTCTCCCCAGTTCTGAACACAGATCCTGGGGCATGGTAGGTGTTCAATAAATACTTGTGGAATGAATGATGAATGTGCACCCGAGTCAGAAAGTGGCTTTTTTCTGCTTCATTCTTACCCTGAACTGGTACCCTGCTCTCCTTGGCTGGCCCTGGACTCCTACCCAGGTTCCATCAGCAACAAACCCTGCCTCCTAGGAAATCTTCCTTTTATCTGCCCAAACCTTTGGTTCCCTTTTCTGTAGTTATGGTGGTGCCTGTGGCTCTTATATTGAAGCCACAGTGCCTACCTAGCCCTGGTCTGACAACATGGTCATTTATAAGTAGCTCTCAGGGATGCCTCATGATCCTTGTGGCAGGAGAGACGGTGGAAGGACAGAAGGGCCTGACTCTCCAGCTGTGCTCCTGAGCCTAGATGGCGCCCAGGGGTCAAAGTTAAATGTTGGAAAATCAGTGCCCAGCTGGGTGCCTTTGGTCCACCCTGCACCATAAACCCCATTCTTTCTTCCTGCTTGCCTATATAGCCCCCTTTCTATCTGGGCCACTAGGCTGAATCCCTGCCCCCTGAGGTTCAGACCCCCAGCATGATGCTCCCCATCCCCTATTGAGTGTGGTTTTTTAAAAATAGGTAAATAGCATGAAGGAGCTGTACCTGCTGATGGAGGAAGAGGAATTAAATGCCCAGCATTCTGATAACAAGACCTGCACAGGGGACAGCTGGACCCAAAACACGGTTTGTTCTCAGCCTATTCCCACCCCTGTCCTACCCATTTGTTCCTTTGTCTGTTTAGTGATCACTTCCTGCCACCTTCTCTGACCTTCTTGCACTGGGCACTGGAGCTGCAGAGGGTTATTGCCTGGTCACTGGCCCCAGATGCCCAGTGCTGCGGGGTACATACGTCATTCCAGGGCAGTGACAGAGGGCCAGATGAGGGGTCATAGGCAAGAGAGCAATGAAGTCTGTTTGGAGTATAGTGGACAGTATCACAGAGAAACAGTCATAGGTGGTAAGCTTTGAAGGATAAATAGGAACGTACCTAATAGAGAAAGGGGAAAAGGCCATTCTGGACCAAAACAGCTGTGTGTGCAGAAGTGTGGCAGGAGATTCTGGGGATTGGCTGCAGCTTGGCTTGTACATAGTTGGGGTAAGGACATCAGGCTGGAGTCATGAAGAGGGGCCTTGTGGTCTGGAGTCAGGAACCCTCAAATCAAGCCATAGGATAGAGAAAGCAATGGGGTCAGGTTCCCAGGGGCAAAAACAGTGAGTTTGGGTATGGGTGGGAAACAGGTCATGGGCCAAGGACAGAAGATGGGGACCCATTCAGGCAGTCAGGAGGCTCCATGGTTCAGACTCCTTACCTGGCCCATGATGGATCGGAGAGGCAGATCCTGAGAAAGGAGAAGGGCCCAGGACCTCTGCATTGCAGGGCCTTGAAGAAGCCAGGGCCCAGCTTAGATTTAGGCTGAGTGATTATTACTGTAACTGCAGGGTTTTTTGTTTATGTGAGGCTGGGACGCATGTCGGCCTAGGAGGTGGCCAGGACTGAGATGACTCAGCTCAGAAAACTCAGGGCTGAGATTGCATGGATGAGATAACCCAAGAGGTTGTGGGACGTGCCCAAGGTCTGGTAGAGTCTCGGGCTGGACTCTGGGTGAGTGCTCCCAGCCCAGGCTCCCTTCCCTGCCCCTCAAAAAGCTCCTGACCCAGGCCTTGCCCCCATCTGCAGCCGAACGAGTACATCAAGACACTGGCTGACATGAAGGTGACGCTGAAGGAGCTGTGCTGGCTGCTCCGGGATGAGCGCCGTGGGCTGACTGAGCTTCAGCAGCAGTTCGCCAAGGCCAAGGCCACCTGGGAGACGGAGCGGGCAGAGCTCAAGAGTCATACCGCCCAGGTGAGTCTCGCCACCTGTCGGAGACATCTACCCCCTTATTCCCCTCTCAGCCAAGCCCTCGGCTGTCAGGTTTGGGAGCAGGATATCCAAACCATGCTCCTAGAAGCATAAGAACCTCACCTTGTGATCCAGAGAAGGCGAGAGACTTGCCTCGAGTCACACAGCAAGGGTACCAGAAACAGTGGGAACCCGGAGTCACTGAGCTAGGGAAGGCAGCTAAGGGATTGACAAAAGGACATGGGAGCATCAGAGGCACCTCTGCTACACCATGGGCTCACAGGTGAGGCCAGAACACTTAGATGCCTGTCTGTACCTGGTGATTACCTTCACACACGCCCCGGGACTCCAGCTGCCTGCCGTCATCATTCTCACCCTCCTCTCCTCATAAGGATCTCTTAACCTTCTGCTGCCTGGCTCTGTTCACTCAGACTGAGGGACTTCTCTACCCACAACCCAGCGTGACCAAAGGATCCTCAACCAGGAGCTTTGGGGATTTGGTCTCTGCTGTGTACCTGGAGGCAAGTTGCTGCCCCTCTCTGGTCTTCTCAGTGAGAGGGTGGGCTTCTTCCCACTCAGAATGCTCTGACCACACCCACACCCCACACCCCAACTCTGCAGGGTCCAGCTGCCTCCAGCCTGCCACTGCTATGGACTGCTTTCCTGAGCATCATGGGCCCCTTGGAGGTGGGCACACTCATGATCTCTGCTAGAAAAGTGACCAAACAGGCATAGAGGAGTTCAGTTTCTTTCCCAAGGTCACCTAGCTAGTAAGTGGCAGACCTGACCCTCGCTCTGCAAACTTCTGCCCCTCCAGCCTCCCTGTGACTATGATCTCACCTTCTCAGTGCTCACAGACTGGCTTCCCAGTGCCACCATTCTCTCCTCCTGACCCTCCCTGCAGGCCTCACAGCTCCTGCCCCATCTGCACATTCCACACTGTCCACTGCTGCTGCTGCCCTCCCAAACCCAGCCATTCCAGGTGTCCCTCCCCACTGGGAACCTTGAATGGCCTCATGAGGGTTAAGATCCCAGACCACAGCCCGGGGGATGTGGGGTGCATTGATTCTTGAGGTTGCATGTTTACCTCCTACGGTTTGGGGCTGAGAATGCCGTTATGGGGGAGCGATTCCTGGACACATTACATGACAATGTGAGCATGTCCCCCACTGACCATAAACCTGTACCGCAGGTAAGATTGATGAAGTATCATGAGAAACAGTAACTAGGGACCTCTGCCATTTTGTAGCTGTGTGACCTAGGACAAATAACCTACCTCTTTGAATCTCTTCAGGCTCCTGTGCAAAATATCAAAAATGGTTGTTATCTTGCCGAGTTTGCATGAGGATATTGAGCTAATGCCTGAAAGGCCATTAGCACAGAGCTTGGCGTATAGAAAGAACACCACAGGCCTTGATTGGGAGGAGAGGTTAGTTCTGAGTGAGGAGGTCAATGAAGGCTTCCCAGGTTAGGGGTCCTCCAGGGAGGAGCTCTCTCCGCCTAATGCCCGCTGGCGCTCTGGAGGGCAGAAGTGCAGAGAGGAGGGGCCTCCTGGCACCAGCTCCCAGTTTGCTCTTCCTTTTGCAGATGGAGCTGAAGGCTGGGAAGGGCGCTGGGGAGCGGGCAGGGCCCGACTGGAAGGCAGCCCTACAGAGGGAGCGAGAGGAACAGCAGCACCTCCTGGCTGAGTCCTACAGCGCTGTTATGGAGCTGACACGGCAGCTGCAAATCAGCGAGCGCAACTGGAGCCAGGAGAAGTTGCAGCTGGTGGAGCGGCTTCAGAGTGAGAAGCAGCAAGTAGAGCAGCAGGTAAAGGAGCTGCAGAACCGCCTGAGCCAGGTGAGGCCTGTCCCAGCCCAAGCTGGCTCAAGCCACAAGGGGGAGTCACTGTAGGAAGAGGCCAGGGGTAGGATCTCTTTCAGGTATAGCTAGATCCAGGTGCTCAGGGAATGCAGTAGGGATGAGGTCTTCTCTCGCCAGTCTCTCAGGCTTGCTTTTCTCTGTATTTTTTTTATCCTTAAATTAATAAAGCGGTCCTCAAATATGGCCACTGCTAGTTTTGTGCTCCTATCCTCACAGCGATTGCAATAGAGTTTTCCTTTTCCATAAAGCTCTGATTGGCCAGGTGTGAGTCATGTGCCCACCCCTCGGAGCCTGCCAAAACCTTGGCACCAAGAGGGAAGAACCAAGGTGGGCCCCATAGGAAAATTGGAGGCCTCCTACCAAAAGACAGTGGAAATGAAAAACAATCATTGACCATTACCCCCACTACAGTTCACATCAGTTTATCTGCTGTTTTGTGTTCCTAGCATGGAGATACCACTCTGGTGTGATTCAGCTGCTATTTAGCTGGTCTAGCTATTCCAGAAATTGTAGCATGAATTAACATAGTAGTAAGAACTGTAATAGTATATATAGTATTAGATATAATGTCATCTATAAGGGTGCCTGTAATTGGTTACTTTCATGATCATTTCTCAAATCCACCTTGTTGATGGCTCAGAGCTGCTGCGGCCCACTGGGAAGGTGGCTCCTCTTCCATGATCTGGGTCCTCCGGGCTGCAGAGAGGAGCCTGGGGAGTGGCCCTGTTCGCCAGCTTTGCCCATCATTGACCACCCTCTTTACCCTTTCCCAGCTGCAGAAGGCTGCTGACCCCTGGGTCCTAAAGCATGCAGACCTGGAGAAGCAGGACAACAGCTGGAAAGAGGTGAGTGGGATAGCAGGCTGCTCTTAATTCTCTTGGTTCCTGGCTACACTGGAAAGTCCCTCACTTGTGGGGACATGACAAAGAGGATGCTAACCCTTGCATCTTGGGCTTCTTAGCCCTGGTGTCTCTACCTTCATGGTTCTAGCCTGTGGTTTGGGACTTGTGAAGGACCCTCTGCCAGCTCCATCCTTTCATACCTGGGAGAAAGGCTAGATGTCTGTGTATTTTTGGCCAGGCCCCTTGCTCTCTCTTAGTTTCAGATGTGCCTTTCTGAAAAGCAGGGCCTCTACGGCCGAGTGGCGCATTGGTTAAGTTGGCTTGGGACGCCAGCACTGAGCAGCAGGGCCCCGGTTTGGATCCCACATTAGCCAGTGATGCTGCGCCCTCTACAGCTAAGATGGTAAACAACAGCTCCACCTGGAGCTGGGCTGCGGTGAGTCTCTGGTGACTGCGTAGGCTGCAGTGGGGCTGGCCAGCAGTTGGAGTGTGCTTTCGTGAGCTGCCGTGAGCGGCCGTACAATGGCTGGCAAGCAACTGCCTCACCTAGGAAGAACGCAATAATACCAACGTGGGCCAGTGAAGTGACGTCCTCCACAACTAGACTGAAGAACAGAGGGACAGCAACTTGTCTGTTCCCCTTTCCCGATTCCCTAACGCTGTTCCCCTCCCCCAATTCCCCAATAAAATCTTTTTTAAAAAAAGAAAAAAGCAGGTCCTCTAAATAGCCATGTGATCTTGGGCAGGTCACTCGCCCTCTCTGGGCTCCAGCTGCCTCATTGGTAAAATAAGAATCACATTTTCTGCCTGAGCCCTGCCCTGGTTGTGGAGATCAATTAGGTCAAATGGGTAAAGTTTGCTCCTAAGCCTCAGGTACATTGTCCATATAGCAACACGCTGAGTAACCAAACAGTGAACAGATGGGCCCTTTGCATCATCCCATGTAAACCTCATGACAGCCTGAGGAAGACTTGGTTGCAAGCAACAAAAACAACCTCAGGGGCCGTTCAAGTGGCGCGACAGTTAAGAACTGGCTTGGGACGCCAGAGGGCCCCGGTTCAGATCCCACATATGAGGGACAGTGACACTGCCCTCCACAGCTAAGATGCTGAACAACAGCTCAACCTGGAGCTGGGCTGCTGTGAGTCGCCAGTGACGGCGTAGGCTGCAGCCCCTGTGGCAGTGGGTTGCCATGGGCTACCGTATGTAGCCAGCAGCCAGCGTGAGCGGCCAGCAGCCGCAGTG